TGCATTCAATATACTAGACGACTAGACGTACATAATTACGTAGTCACCAGTCCTGGTTTCGATTGGCAAGTCAATATTAGTGCTTTGATTATGTACACGTCTAGATGCCGTGTCGCCTCATAACGGATAAATATTATTTTTTGGCCCCATTATGCTATTCTTGTTTGCGTAAAAGTTGTTATTTCAACACTCGCATCGACTGTTTTTGTGTGCGCGAATAGGATCTGTTTTATTTAATGTGGAAATTTTTGTATGCATTTTTTCATTTTTTTTTACATAACTGAAATAATCTAATAGGGCCACGCAGGAGCCTCGGCTATTGCACGAATGGGCTGGCTCGTCCGGGTAAATACCACGACCTCACAGAAGACCGGCGTAAAGTGGAGGTATAATACTTTCGCGTTTCGTCTGGTGACTGAAGTGGCCGATGATCAATTTTCAAAAGGTTGTCAACGCATGTGCAACCCTCGGGTGTAGCAGATATATATGGGCGGCGGTATTCACTTAACATCAGGTGAACCGTCTGCTCGCTTGACAACTATTCACAAAAAAAAGCACTGATCGTCGTAGATGTCAAATAATCAGTTAAACTGTTTGAATCGATCATTCTGATTGTTAAGAAGGTCATTATGATCATTTCAGAGAGTTTATCCATCATTTTGGCAACTCAAATGACATTTGAAAAGCCATTTGACAGCTGATTAGTTAACTTCTACGATGATCAGTGTTTCAATAACCGAGCGTTAATGTTATCCTAAGAGACAATCAAACTATGTACGCGTTTCACAGTCTGGAATGCGATGTGTGACAAAACATGTGTCAAAATTACTAAAGTTTAAGGTTAAAATTAGTTTTATTTCAAATTTAAAAAAAACTAGTATGCTGGCTGACTCAAGACCAGTTTATTCGCTGGTAAAAAAAACTGTGCGGAAATTAGCGAATTAGTCATACCTACTATTTATAAGTAATTAAGAACTAGTGAATAATGGAATTGACCTCTAAAAATTATTTCTAAAAGACCATAAATATTATATGTGAATATGCAAATACTGATATCTTACAGGAGATGAAATAAACTATAACTTGGATTGTACCCAAGAATAAATTAAAAGAAAACATACCATGTTTTCTTTTAAGAGGATGAGGTAGGTATATATTCTTTTAAGGTATTTTTAAACACATCATCCGTTGCTGTAGGAACAAATTCAACGATCAGTCCATAACTTGCATAAAAAAATAACAATTACCTTTAACTATTATTTGGTTAATTATATATTTGATTCCAATTTTGATCTAGCAGTAGGGGTGTTAGCGGACTTAATTTTATCATTGTTTTGAGTCGAGATATTGTGACATTAGTATCCACCTGGTATTAGTCAGCACTACCCCTAGTGTTTTTAGAGCCGGAGGCACGTAGGTAGAGCAACCTCCGCCCGCTGTGACAAACCGTAGGCATCCGATGAGTCTGAGCGGTCAAGTCTGGTCACCAAAGGTGTGAGAAGGAAAACTGTGGGGGAGAGAGACTGCAAGGGTGTAGAGGCACTTCCCACAGCACTGGAGATGTTGCAGTCTCAAAATAGATAAAAAATTCCTCTGAATCAGTAATCCTATATTTTTCTGATTATGATGGAACCCTTTCCCCTCCATAGGGGTCCCCCTTATTCTTTACACTTATTATGAATTTGAATTCATAAAATGAGGAAAATTTCATCTAAATTAATAATTAATACAACTCGAGGGGGGGAGGGGCTCCCCAACTTTTCCTTTTAAGTGGAGGAAATACCCTTCCCCTCCCTAAAAAGGTTACCTGTAGAAAATTTGTAAAAGAAAATTTGCTACAAAAAAATAAATAAAATACAAAAATTCGCACAGTTAATTTTCAGACTCCTAAGCCTAAGATTTATGTAATTTAATAAATTTACACCATCCAGGAAATTGAGACAGGTGAAAGTGAGCTATGCAAATCACAAAGAGGTCTGAAGGAGAGGAGTTTGTAAAAAAAAATATGTTATAAGTATAATAATTTTCACTTACCAATAATATCATACAAGCTTGCTGTGTAATTATCCACGAAATATGAAAGAAAATTCATTTTTACATCAACAGCTGATCCAAAAGTTTGAACACAAAGCTCAAAGTTCCACTAGATGAGAGAATTATAAATTCCACGTCCCTTTCAGAATAATATTGTTCAATATATTTAAATGAAACTTTAAAAATAAACCTATGCGCTTCTATTCGACGCAGATAGTACTCATATAAAATAATAAACAATATTATCAATCATAAAATGCCGAAACACGATCAAAAAAAGTTGACTTGACATTGACAATTAGGTAGATTTGACATTGTACCTTTAGGTTGGTAGTAGAAGTACAATGATCCGATAGATGTACCTACGGTTTCTAAATCACTTTATTGTTTTTTATTTATTTTTAGTGCCAATGTTTGCACTTAAGATGAAACTTTAAATGTATTGATAAACGATGATAGATGATTCAACGGATAAGGAGGGGTACAAAATTAACTAAGAGAGATAGTGAAACCTATCATAAGAAAGTAATAACATTGAATTTGCAATTTAATCGTTGACTAATCTCTTACGAAAATTAAACTACGAAAACAATTTATTCACGAGAATTTAATGACTTATGCAAAGACAATATTTACGAAAGTAATCAATTAGCGATAACAAACTGTTTACGAAAGCAAATATTTTCGTTAAAAATCAAAAGCGACGGGCATCCGAGGATGTTGCGTGTACGCTACAAATCTGACCTCGCATTTGCCGGAATGTAACTTATAAATTAAGTCGTTATAAGTTTAAAATTACACTTAGATGACTTGGCAAAGTAACCTCCCGCGACTATCTTTCTAGTGGTCGTCAGAGTGAAGCTTAGAGAATATGTGCTCCGTCTGACGATTATGATTGTGATTTGTGTGGGGTTGGGTAGTAAATACCAACACAACATACTCCCACTGCAACCTAGAAGATCATTTAAAGTTTTCCCTTTGAGCTAGACAGCCTTTTTTTAACTATGGAAAATGCATCATGCATTTCCCATCGTTATGCATGCACTCTCCTGCGGGGGAAGCAAGGAGAGTTATGTTGGACTCCCGCCCTGAGAAAGGCAGACCTACCAACTAAAACCCATCGGGTGTGTTCCTCTGCCGTCAAATGCTGGATTGCAGGGCCCGCTAAAGTGATTCTGCTGCAAACCAGCCACGGCGTGAGCTAGAGAGCCTCCTCGAAACCTACAACCCCAATGAAGTTGACGGTCGATGAGGTGCTAGGAGTCGGACCTTCCTTGATTGTCTACTTGAGCACTCCCTGTTCCCGTCTCCTAATATTGACGAGGGCGTCGCATTCACATATTATGTGAAGCAGTGTTTCCTTGTCATCGCCGCAGAATCTACGGAATGGGCTCTTGGACAGTCTTCTTTTTATGTGAAAAGTTGCCAAGCGAGCAGACGGTTGACCTGATGTTAAGTGAATACCTCCGCCCATATACATCTGCTACACCCGAGGGTTGCAGATGCGTTGACAACCTATTGAAAATTGATCTTCGGCCACCTCAGTCACCAGACGAAACGCGAAATTATTATACTTCCACTTTACGCCGGTCTTCTGTGTGGTCGTGGTATTTACCTGGACGAGCTGTCCCATTCGTGCAACAGCCGAGGCTGCTGCGTGGCCCTACCACCGTTGAAATTAAAAATCTCATTCTGTTTAAGTGCTTGTGTTGCTTACAGTGCCCCGTGAGGGCCTTATTGAGTATATTTATGCTCAACCGATTTAGCTTAAGCACCTCAGTTGCAATGGTGAAGCTCTATATCAGCTGTTATGAAATAGTCAGACCAACCGATCCGCGCCAAAGCAGGTTGGCATGAAGTCTCTCCCAAGCCATGGGTACCCCGAGAGTAAGTTCGGGCCGGTAAGTACGCCGTACCCTGTTAATATCATTTCTTGTCTACAAGTCGTCGCAGTGGTTCAGCTGAGCGGATGGCGTCGTCAAAACGTCGTAGTGGACCTGCTTGTACTCTTAGAGTCCATTGGTACCCAGGGACATCTTCCAATAGAGCTGCGGGCTAAATTGCCATTTCAACTTTATTAGATCCCCTGGATAGTTTCTATTTTCGATGGCATTCCACTATATTATACTTAGTCGTCAAAAAAATATAATGTTAGGCTGTATGAAGAAATCCCAAGATCTATGTTGATGACAGTTGAATTTGACGTCGTAAGCCTGTCAATTTCATTGTATTTACTGAATTTTATTGTATTTGTAATACAACAAAAACAGTGATCGATTGTTAAATAAATTGAAAATAGAAATGAATGTAAACTTGTAAAATGTTACTGAAGCTAACTTGTAAAAATTAAATTTGGAAGATTTTCTTAACGTACAATGTGAAACATGAATGAAAAAATGTACAGGGTAATAATGCTACGGCGAAGATATGTTAAGCGAGGGATATGTATGCTTATTGTATTTGCGGCATCGTTTTATGTTTACATTTTACTTTTTGGTAATTTAAAAGCGCCTCAAATTATGCACATTACTGATTTACAACGCTGCCCCGCTTGCTATGGTGTATCAATATGTCCAGAGCTATATTCTAATCAGATAACTCTTGAGTATGATCGACATTGGTCGGGTGTTTTTAATGCAAAAAATATTTATTACGGCTACACAAAGTCTAAAAGGAAAGTAATTTTGAAAAAATTAGCCCATGACTGGGAAATAAAAGAGTTTGACACAAACATGTGTAAGAAATTAGGCTTTAAAGATCAGTGCAAGCCTAGCCATCTCTTGAATACATCAAATGTTGATGAAAAAATTATTACGATGGTACAATTTAATTTTACTTGGCCTGATGCTGAGCCACGCAAGGGACTTGTGATGTGTCCATATGCATATAGTATTTATGACCTAATAAATCCTCTAATCGATGCTCGAAAACTAAATTATAAATCTGAAATTTTAAATATTTGGACAATGCTTAGTATAAATCCTGAGCCCATAATATTACAGGTACACAATGTTCTTTGCAATTAATAACATTGGCAATAGTAATATAATCATGCATCAAAATATAATTTGCTACAGATTATCCCCAAGTCACAAGGTTGGCCAGTGCCAGCTTATGCTGGGGTTTGTGGGAGACTTGAGGTAGTAGCTTATGAAGGAGAACCTATTTCATCATTGTTGCACAAGGAGTGGCATAGAAAGCTCAAGTATGCTAAGAAAATTCTTGATGCTGCCATGGACTTTACTTTTAAACATGACAGGCAAGATCAAATATTTAAAAAAATATATTAGTAATTTAATTAAAACTGAAAATGCTTTATTAGTAATTGAAAAAACACTCCTTGTTATTCAAAATGAATTGACTATTGACTCAGTTACTTGAACTTTGATAATTTAATATATCTATAGAAATTTCATAAAAAAGTGTATAATTATAGAAGTACTAATTTAAATAATTTTAAAATAAAACTCTTAGCTTAGTTAATATTATGTGCTATATATACTTAGTAGTAATAAATTATTTTTTTTACCATGACATTTCAAAAAATTATAAAATGTTGCTACGTTTCTTTTTTTTTTCAGATTTCGATTTTATTTAATGGACTGGTCACTAGACAACATTGTAGCCAATGAAAATGATGACATTTACTTTGTTGATCTTGAAGATATAATAGTTCTGGACAAACATATATCACCCAGAAAAGACTTAGCAGACTGGTATCAACGGTATAACAGAGAACTTATTGGCCCTGGTTTCTCCTTTTCCATTGAGAATATGTGTAAACATCATTTGAGTGACCACAATTTATGGGCAGCTTGTTACATAATAGCCAGCGATGATAACCCTTTGCTGTATCCTATACCGAAAGCCATAAATGCATCACGGCCCTATTTAGACAAGCTGCTAAATGAATGCCTAAACAGTGATGACAGATTCAAAACTATAACAAAGCTTCAGCATTATATAAGTGATATGTTGTTAGACGAAAAACTTTTTATCGTAACTACACAGAGATGATGAATGAATAAATTTGATTGTAAGATATGTAAAAACTATGCTAAGCAGCAACTTTGTACAAAGTTTAGATCTACGGTTAGATATATATTATAACAAAATTAAATTATTTATCAATCACTTGCATACATACAGTATATTAATACTCACTAAAATTTCTAGATTTTGCAGTTATATGGTATTTTCTAAGTATTGACTTATATTACCTGTTTTGCCTGTTTTAAGGATAATTATCCTTAAAACATGTGATAAATGTTCTAAACAGCAAGTTTTTGATGTTTACTCTAATTGAAAGAAAATCAGAAGACAAGACTGGTTCTCCATATTAATTTTTTGTGTAAAAAAGTAGTAGCCTGCTAAAATCTTACCTACTTACAATGTATCCTAGACCAGGGGTGAGCAACCTTTTTAATGAATGGGCCAATTTAAATTTCAAATTTTTTTGGCGGGCCACACATAATAATTTACGAAAATTTATTTATAATAAATATTAGAATAAAAAATATAAAATTAATAAAAAGTAAAAATTTCATATACAAATTTTAATGCAAGGTAAAAACAAACAAGAAAAGAACAGAAAAATGAACAAAAAATATTTCGGTTCAGTATGTACTACCATTTTATAATTAATTTAATACAATATATTGATGGGAGAAATTCGATAAAATAAATTCAATTTTAGAAATGCTTGGCGGGCCGCATAAACATGTTTAAGGGGTTGCAAGCGCCCCACGGGCCGTGCGTTGCTCATCCGTGTCCTAGACAATTAAAATGAAATCAGTACATATTTAAATCTTTATAGATTATGCAATTGAATAGTGTGTGTTGTAATTGTTTATTAAAACGTTTTTATTTTTTAGTCATTTAATCATTTGTCATTTTGTTCTCTGTTCTATTATTAATGTTTGTTAACTTAACTTTTTCATAGACATATGTTTTAATATTATTTTAATATTCTGTTATATAATTTTTTCAATTTTATTTTATGATTATGATAGTTAAGAAATTTGAGAATGTATACTGACAACCTTTAAGCGAACATATCATATTTGCAAACCCTACAAAATGGGTAGAATATAGCGATAAAAATTACTGTACTGTACACCTCATGCCTAACCTATATTTCGCAAATAAATACATTATTATTATTATATAACATAGATTTATTCTCGACTCGGTGTTGGTTTTTTCTTTGGCCTAAGATACGGGCGTATGCCAAGTATCCTGGTACCATTGTGTTTTATGTTTGTGAATGTTGCTGTGTGTTTGTGTGATTGTGATCTTGACTGCTGTGTACTGTGTGTGGTTGGGAAGTTAGGTTTAAGAAAGGGCGTACTATGGAACATGTGTCTAAAACAATTGATTTTTGGATAGGTATATACGTGTTATCATGTAGGTCTAAGATTTTAAGCGCTGTTTTAAGTGATTTTGGAATGACACCGGTTGCTGAAATAATGACGGGGATGATTTTGACTACTTCTTGGTGCCACATCTGTTTAATTTCATCTGCTAAAGGTATGTATTTTTGTATTTTTTTATTATTATGGGGGATATTCATTTGATTTCTCGTCTGATTGGGTTTATATATAAAAAATAAACATATAGATACATATTGTATAAATAAAATAAATATTATGCATAAAAATAAAATTATACATATAAAAATATACTACATATGATACACATATAAATAGGACCCAACCAGACGGAAGCCCTCGGCAGGGGAGACCAAACGGCCGAGGGTTAGGGTGAAAGGGAGAGAAACCGGCGGACGATGCGGGCGGTATCGAGGAGCACCGCCTTCTGCATTAGAGCTTGGAGCGTTCCGTCCCGGAGTCCCAGTCGCCTCAGATGTCCGGAGAGGCTGGCTGGGATCAACCCATTCGCAGATACGACTATTGGGATAATTTCGGTCGGCACACCACCCCACATGTCGGTCACCTCGTGAGCCAGGTCCAGATACTTCGTCTTCTTATCTGTTTCGGTTTTAACGAGGTTCTCGTCATATGGAATGGTAATGTCGACCAAAAATACCCGCGACTGTGCCCGGTCCATCAACACGATATCAGGTTTTTTCGCGACAATCGTCCAGTCCGTGATGATGGACCGGTCCCAATAGAGCCTGGCGCGGTCATTTTCGAGCACGGCCTCTTCTCCTCACGGAGAGTACTTATAGTACGGCAGTTTCCGTTCCACGAGGCCGTATTTCAGAGCGAGCTCCTGGTGTAGAATTCTGGCTACTAGGTTGTGTCTATGCAGATACTCAGAGTTAGAAAGCATGGAACAACCGGAGATAACATGCCGAAGCGACTCCCCGGGATGGCGACAAGCTCGACAGATGTCGACGGTGCCATCCTTAGGATGTATCTCCGATAGTTGTTCGTCTTAATAACCTGATCCTGTATCGCACAGACAAAACCTTCGGTTTCCCCAAAGAGGTCTCCGAAACGTAGCCAGTTAAGGGAGGCAACAGTATCTACGAAAGGCTCGTGTAGAGCCTGGTAGAACCTCCCGTGGAGCTCTTTCTCCTTCCATACGGTCTCTCGGTCGGAAACGCTCAGTACTCCCGGGTCCTGCCATTGCTCGTTGGCTAAGGATAGAGGGGTAAGTCCTTTATCACAACTAATGACGTCCGTGTAGATTGACTCATCCGATCTCGCCAGAAAGTAGTTACGGAGGCTGCACACCTCGCGATTGTGCATGGTGAGGGCGCTTAAAAAGCCCCTCCCGCCATGCTTCCGCGGCAGGTACAGCCTCATCACTGACGATCTCGGATGATGCATTCTGTGGGACGTCATAGTTGTGCGGACTTTTCGATCCAGGGCGTTGAGCTCAGTTTGAGTCCACCTGAGTATGCCAAAGGTATACATGAGGACTGGCATGACCCAGCCGTTAAATGCGCGTGCCTTGTTCACGCCTGACAAATGGCTGTTAAACACCTTTGTCAGGCGTGCAAAAAACACGTCACGAACTGACTGTTTCATGGCAGCCTCATCGATACACATGTTTTGTGACATACCCAGGTATCGGTATGTTTCAGCCTCAGAGAGGGTCCTTATGTTAACGGGCATAGATAAGTCTATGCCCTCCATATTAGCGATCTTACCCCTTTCGACATGGAGGACCGCGCACTTATCCGTCCCAAACTCCATTTTGATAGAATTGCTAAAATCACAAGTGACTTTAAGCAATTCCATCAAATGGGAGCGATTGGAGGCGAATAATTCGAGGTCATCTATGTAGAAAAGGTGGGTCACTTTTGTCCCTCCTCTCCGAAGCTGAAATCCTCCCCCCGAGCCCTCCAGTAACACGCTGAGAGGGTTCAGGGAGAGGCAAAACCATATTGGGCTCAAACAGTCGTATCCGTATGTCGTATCGTCGTATCCTTATCCGGTATTCCGCAGCCGTCATCCGCTCGCCTATATGACAAAGGATCGTACTCCATTGCCCCATACAGTGCCCGAGGAAGTCTCTTACTGTACAGTCTACTTTGTACAGTTCGAGGACCCTCTTTAGCCATGTATGGGGCACACCGAGTCGAATGCCTTTTTGTAGTCTATCCAGGCGGCGGAGAAGTTCCGACGATTGCGTTTAACCATTTTGCCAATGACCGCGTCGATGAGAAGCGGTTCCTTGGTTCCACGACCGCCGCCCCGACATCCATTCTGAACACGAGACATAATCCGATTCATATTAATATGTCGGGTGATTCTCATGCTCAGAATAGATGTCAGTGTCTTATAGATGGTAGGTAGACACGTAATGGGGCGGTACTTACTCGGGTCTGTGGTAACCTGGTGGTAACCTGATCTTTAGGAACCAAATGAGTGACCCCAGTAGTAAAGAGGCTCGGGAGCGACCTCTGATCGAGAGCCTCTTGGAACTGTCGGGCGAGCACAGCATGACACACCACGAACCCTTTCAGCCAGTAGTGATGCAGCCCGTCGAGTCCCGGACTTTTCCAGTTCGGGGCTCTACGGACTGCCTCAGATACGTCGTCGGGTGTTATGACGACGGGGTCCATGGGTGTAATGTCTGCACATTGGCTCGCCACGACTTGTGTCCAAGGGCCCTCACTGTGGTCTACGGGCTCTGACCACAGGCTGCGCCAGAAGGCGACAGTGTCTGCCTGGTCCGGTCCTTGGCCCGTTCCACAACTCATTGGTCGCTCCAAAGATTTGTAGAGCCTCTTTTGGTCACTCTGGAAGAGGCGATTTCGGCTAAACCGCGCCGTCCTCTCGGAATATCTCCGAATCCGCTTTCCCCAAGCAGCGATCCTCTGCTTCAGGTCATCTATGCGCTCCGTTAGTTTTTGCGTAATGTCCGGCTGGGACAAGTTGATGTTGGTCCCAGCGAACGCCATCCTAACGGTGCGCACAATTCTGGGCCTATTTTATTATTATTATTGGGGGGATATTCATTTGTTTTCTCGTCTGGTTGGGTTTATAAATAAAAATAAAGATATAGATATATATTGCATATATAAAATAAATATTATGGATAAAAATAAACATATAATAATAATAATAATAATATAATATCTTTATTCACATAGACGCTTGCGCGTTCTTATGAAACGTCAAAATTTTACAAGAAATTAACACGTTCGTAAGTTACCACCGGTTCGGAAAGCAGTTTCTGTTGAGAAGAAACCGGCAAGAAACTCAACAGTTGCTCTTTTTAAAAAAAATCAGTTTACAATATAATAGTACATGTACAATAGTCTTGTTTTAGCCTACGTGAGTATCAACAGTATTAACCCCACACATTGGCGTCGTCAAGATATTCAGCAATAGAATAATAGGCTTTAGCCATAAGTTTACTTTTAATTTTTCGTTTAAATTCATCAAGTGGCAGACTTAATATCGACTGTGGGATTTTATTATACATACGCACACCTTGCCCCATGAACGACCTGTTTACTTTTTGTAAACGAAACAATGGCGTAGTTAGTTTGTCCTTATTTCTAGTATTTAGTTTATGTCTGTCATTATTCTTTAGATAACTATTAATATTATTTTTAACATACAAAATATTTACAATAAATATATTGAGACGCAACAGTGAGTATATTAATCTCTTTAAAAAGGTCTCTGAGTGTATTCCGGGCTCCGATGTTATAGATTGCTCGGACAGCTCTTTTTTGAAGAATAAATATAGAATTTATATCAGATGCACTACCCCACAACGAAATGCCGTAAGACAAGATGCTGTGGAAATAACTGAAATAAACAAGTCTGGCAGTGTCGATGTCTGATAGCTGCCTAACCTTCCTAACTGCAAAAACATTTATATATATATATATATATATATATATTTATATATATAAATATTTTATACAATACATATATAAATAGGACCCAACCAGACGGATATTGATTATTATTAAGTGCATTTAGTCATGATTCAATAAAGATAATATAAATAAAAATATTTGTAGTAAAAATGTTCACTGTTTTAAATTTTAATTAACAGATCTCTTATCATCAACTTCATTTAAACAAAAGATGCAAATGTGCAGACACAAAAAATTTCATTAAAATCTGTCCAGCCCTTTAGAAGGATTTCAGTGATATACACACGTACAGTAGAATTATATATATAAACATATAGTATTAAATATCATTGGTTAACTCCTTTCCCTAATATTGGGATTACCCCGAATTGATAATCTTACTTTTAGGACTGAGTGTGAACTGGATTAATTAAGTGCAATGGAACCGAAATTGAATCTGTGTTCTTAAAACCGAGTTGAGTTAACAATATTCCCATGGTATTAAAAATTTGGAGTGTCACAGATTTGAACTTAACAAATGTAAAATTACGTATTTCTTAAGAAAAATAGAATAATGAGTATACCGTACGCCTGACATATTTAATTCAGTTCGTATCGTGTTAATGTTTTGTGATTAAAACAACTTCTTTTGGGGTTATAGTATGTTCAAAATATTATATCTTCATACTTGAATAATAGATCAATGATGGAAATCAAAATTAAATTTATTTTACGAGCAGAATGTTTGTGACAGTTAGCCTTACTTCTTACTAGAGATGGGTCGTATCGCTTTTTCTGAGTACCGTATCTGAATCAGATTTCGATTTCAAATATCAGATTTCGAAACTATGTATTTTAATATCTAGATATTTTACGGTCCCGTATCCACCTTGAGTTCTAAAAAAAAAAAAAAAAAATGTTTTCAACAATATTTTATACTTATTATAAATATAAATTGTGCAGGCGTATTTAAAAGTTGATTCATTTCATTCATTCATTCGACGATCATTATACCTATACAGAACTAAAGCTATTACCAGTGATACTAACTGTTCAAAAAGAATACTTCTAAATAAATTCGAAAACCCACTAAAATTGACCAAATTCAAAAAACCTTACTGAATTTAAAATCACACTTTTTTAATACTATTAAGGTAAAATTAAAACATTACCTGATTAAATTAAAATTTCATTAAAAATAGAAATTGAAGTAATATAAAAATGATTTATTTCAACATCTTATATATACGCTTAATAATTGACTTTAACATATTCTTAGAACACGCAATCATGAGTGACAATATTTTTATAATTTGTGTAAGAAATAATACATTCAGTATTATAACTTAGGGCGGAAGAATTTAAAATATACACACAAAGCACATAAGCCTTGGTCTGATTTCCACCCAAGCAGCACAGCACTATTAAATTATATTTTTCTTTTTGTGTAGTTTTATTTTTTTCCAAAAATATGAATAAAATTTAACTAATAAAAATATTCACAAAAAAATTTACCTCCTAAAAAATTTCCATTTATATTTTTCTTCCTTAATTTAGGCAGAAAATTCTTAAGTAGTAAGTTGGCATCCCTTACTATTACGTGCTAGGTACCAATGCAATCCAGCTCAAGGTTAAACAAAATTTAAAGACATCGTTAATACCGTAATTCGTATTTAAATGCAACTAAAAATGTTTTTTTCCATGCTGTTAAGATGCGCGCTTTGTCGCCCGTTACGGCTCAAGGCTAAACAAAACAATAAAAATATACTTAATAATATCGTTGTAGTAATCGTTGATACCATGATTAGTATTTAATTGAAACGGATCTTATTTGCATGAACTTAAGATTCAAAATTACTTAACTTATTCAAAATATCTGTTTAAAAATCTGATATTGTGCCTGGCTCTCCGTACTGCTCTAACTAGTGTAATATTTGTATCTCACGCGCTTTGTCGCTCAAAATCTGTTTAAAAAATCTGATATCGTGCATTGCTTGCCGTCCCGCTCTAACTAGTGAGTATTTATATCTCACGCGCTTTGTCGCTCGATATCTGATATCGTGCATTGCTTGCCGTCCCGCTCTAACTAGTGAGTATTTATATCTCACGCGCTTTGTCGCTCGATAACTGATATCGTGCATTGCTTGCCGTCCCGCTCTAACTAGTGAGTATTTGTATCTCACGCGCTTTGTCTCTCGAAATCTGTTTAAAAATCAGATATTGTGGCAAACGCGTATGATATCGCGATTCGTGTCGGTATAACGAGCCAGTAAGCGATATTCGGATATTGTACTAATATCTAGTTTTCATATCTGATACGATATGTATCGCCCACCACTACTTCTTACAAAAAAACTTTTATGTCAAATAAAATTAAGGTGATAAAGTGTAATAGGTTATGTTTATATTTATAGTGTTAAAATAAATTGTATCAATGTTAATGTGATGAAAAAAATCCATGCTACGCAATGAGTGATTCAGATTCGGCGGAAGAAAACGTGATTCGTTATGGAACACCTCTAGATCCATATGAAGAAGGTAAACAATTCTACATAAATAACCGCACATTTAAAATCATATTACTACTTTCTGACAGTGGAAACCTTTGTTTTTCGTTTTTTTTATTATCTTTTAAGTACGTTTTTCATTTTATTGTTACATTTTTTATTTATTTATTACTAGCGCCAGCTCCGCCCATCTTCGCGCGGGTGCAATGTATTACACATATAAACCTTCATCTTGAATCACTCTATCTAGTTATAACAACCGCATCGTTGTGTAGTTTTAATTGTAATGATCTAAGCATACATAGGGACACACAGACAGCGGGGCAACTTTGTTTTATACTATGTAGTGATTTATAATAATGTTTGAATATATTTATTTTTCTTTATAATTTGTGATTAAGATCTTCGTCCAGTAACATTACCTTTTGTCCGTGCGATATTTATTACTCATTTTCCACAAATTGTGTTTTTCAAACAATAATAGTAATATAACATTTAACAAGTTACAATTTCTATTTACAGATGAAGTACCAGCTAAGAAAAGGTTTCAACAACAACAGGAGTATGCTGTCGATGAACATGGCAGACGCCGTTTCCATGGTGCATTTACTGGTGGATTTTCAGCAGGTTATGGAAATACTGTTGGAACACCAGACGGATGGGCACCTGCCTCTTTCAAAAGTTCCCGATCAGAAAAGGCACAAGTCTCTGTGAGTCAAGAAGACATTCAATGTTAAATCACCTGGTCCATAATTTTCTTTTTTATGTTAGAATTTGGTTAGCAAACAGACAGTGCACCCAAAGTGAAGTGATTAGCACTGTCAAAGTCCATGGATATCTACAATATCCACAACTGAGGGTTTTCCAGATGCACTAACAACCTTTATACAAGGGGCTTCCAAGACCGGGCCATAGTCTATCACACAACCTTTCTCTGGATTGGTATTCTTGTTAGCAGACATATTGAATTGGTTAAAGAAAATATTGTGTGGAAACATGCATATTTTCCAAATAATAATTTTAAAAAAATATATTTTGAAGATATGTGAATTCCACCAATCAGCAGTGGGACATCGTGGTGGACTATGCCCTCTACCCTCTGTACAGAGGAGACCTTTGTCCAATAGTGTAGGATATGTAAAGGCTGATACTTTTAGCAGACATATTATCTTCAATATATATTTTTTGCGAAATATTTTGCATATTATCAAAATAATCAGAAGGAAACCTTTCCTCACAATGTTTTCCCTAAAAATGAAGCATCTGATCACATATGAGACATCACATGTTATTTCAATTACATTATATTGCAAAGGCAAACCTTCTGTTGCAACACATTTAGATCTTAAAGTTGTATACTTCTATTATTTTATTTCAAATGTTGTATGTTTCTGCCCGCTTTTCAGCATAGGATCACATATAAGAATAAAATATGTACTACAAGTACATTTTTTATTTCATGTATTTGGAGTTTTACAATGTTTAGGTTTAAATTATCTTTAAAAAAATGTTTTTTCCTATTCTTCCTCAGCTTTATTTCACATCTTAGATCTTCTCTATTCCTATATTCAGAGTCTGATAATGCACACTGGGCCTTGTTTAAAAATATTTCTATGATGGGTAGTGGAGCACAATTTAATATATATTGGATAATAAATTTCATTCAATACTGTTTAGAGTAGTTATATGTGTAAATACTAGAAACTTTAATAATTAAGACTGTTGGTGTATATGCAGATAAAAATATATTGTTACAGAACCAAAGACCTGAAGATTTTATGGATGAGGAAGATCGCAGCGAATACGGGATAGCACCGCGCCAAATACAAACCAAGAGTGAATTTTCCGGACATAAGAGACAAAGGCAACAACAGTTCCATGATGGCCCGATACCCGGTAAACATTTTAACTCCGCTACTAATAATATCTCATTAAAGTCAATTTTTGCTATTGAAACATCCAAAGACTTCCCGCACATTTTCACAAGTCGTCACTTCATCTACACCACCCCCGAACAGATCTGCCCATTCGTGCAACAGTTACGTGGCCGTAATGGTTAAAGTTCCTCATGTTGAAGTTATAGTGGTGTTCTTTGCGGCCGACCAGGGGAGCCGGTGCTGCAGCAGCTGGTGCGACCGGTGCACGAGACGGCGGCGGTGCGAATGCTGAAGGCAATGGGGTGGCGCGAGGGCCAGGGCGCTGGAGAGAGGCTGCCCGGGGAGGAGAAGCGCCGCGCGAGGGAACAGCACCGGGTGTACGGCTGCTACGTGCCGCCGGAAATGAGAGACGTGCGTATATCCGCCCTTTTGTATTGGAACGTGTCGCTTGTTTCCACCGGTCGGGATGGGTGTTCGTGTGTTTCCGCCGTTAGCGTGTCAGTTGTTTGTGCTTCCAGAGGGCGTTCTGGTGCTTGTTTTCGCAGTTGAAATCGCGGGCCGTTCGTTGACTCCCTTAAACTTGTTTTATAAAAAAATTACGTGTTTACGTTCCCAGTCTATTTTCTGGATATAAAGTAAAGTAAAGTAACAGCCTATACATGTCCCACTGCTGGGCAAAGGCCTCCTCTATACAGAGGGTATCAGGGCATAGTCCACCACGCGGCCCCACTGCGGATTGGCGGACTTCACATATCTTCGAAACATATTTTTTTTTGTTATTATTTCGAAAATATGCAGGTTTCCTCACGATGTTTTCCTTCACCGCGGAGCACGGATAAGACAGCACTTAAAGTTAAAAACTTCATTGGTGCCGGCACCGGGGATCAAACTCAGGTTGCTCGAGTATATTGAATTAAAGGCGAGCGCCCGGACACTGAGCTATCACGGCTCTTGCTCAGGATATGGACCAAATAATTTAAAATCACCATTTTTTTATTTTAATTTATAATAGTGACCGACGCATGAGGGTTTCTTAATATCTAGAGAAAAATACAACTGAACATTTCATCAATTTGTGTCCATTATTCAAGTAGTAAAATGCGTTTCATCATCATTATTAATTTCCAGAAAAACCCTGCCCCGGACGACGAGGACAGCTCCGGCTCCGAGGTGGACTACGAGACGCTGTTCGCGCCGGACGACTATGAGCCTTATGTCCTGAACAGGAAGAACGACCGCTTCGGGCTGGGCTACAGCGGTCTCAGCCGCCACTCGGTGCTGGGCAACTTGGTCGGCGAGTACGGGAGCGAAGCGGGCGCTTCCAGGAGTCATTTAGTCATGAAGGAGAAGAACAAGAAGGTTGTATAAACAAAATTGTAAAATGCCTATTCTGTAGTAGCCTATTCTTTTAACACAAAGGCCGGTAAAGGTCCTCGGTGTCTCGGAACGTATTTTTCAATGTTATCGAAACTGTATACCATTCATGACTTTATTTAATTTGAATTTTATGTACCAAGCCAATCGGGTTGTCAAATGGCGGACTGTTTATGGGCACGTGCTAGTGCTCCACAGTATTATATACAGCGTGTCGTTACCATCGCGACAATAAATGAACACACGTCTAACGCTACTTGCCAATAATCATAAAACAATATTAACGTTAAACAAAATCCATAATTAAAAAAAAATATTTTTTAAACAAATTGATTAAGTAAAAAAGAAATAAAATTTGTAACATCCTATACAACTCGCGCTACAGCGTCGCATTACAAGCCTCTCCTTCTAACAGTATGTTTTATCTCTTTTAAATTCATTCAACCCATTCATATGTTTTGTGACCTTTACAAATGAACTTTACGTTACAGTTTTATGCTTAAGGGTGTTCTAAAATTCTTTGTTTTGGAAAATTTAATAACTCTGTAAATATTGATGTTTGAAGAATGTAAATTTTTGATACAATTTTAAAAAGTTATCCTCCATATGTGTGTTCATTTATTGTCGCGTTGGTAACGACACGGTGTAGACCGCGATAAAGGATAAAAGAAGACGTAAAAGTAAGTACGGCATAGTCTGGGGATTGAAAAATTTTACATATCTTTGAAATAATTTTTTCTTCATTATTTCTGCCCACAGCTCCTTCGCCACCGATAAATCATATGGTAAATCGACACTTGTTGTAATCGACATTTACTAAAACGCGATAATGAATAAAAAGCGAGCTATCGAATACTCTTCTAAGAACCAATTTAGAGTCTTGTCATCTAGACTCTCCTAACTCTGTCAGCGGTATTAACTGTAGCTGTATTATTTCAGAGCTTGGGTCGTTCAATGCATAGTTTGGTTTTTTAAAATGATACGACGACGAAACATTTTCTTTGTAGAAAAAAGTTGCGTGCGCTAAATATTCACAAACGTCACCAGTATTTATACAATACCAAATTGGTAACTACAAAATGGACAATCATCCATTTATGAGCCATTCATCCAAGTCTTGATGCTGGCAGCTGACAGAGCTACTTAGAATTTTAGGATTTGAAACAAAGCCTAGAATTAGGAGTCAAAAATAGCTTGTTAGTTAAATCACATTACAGCAACAAGCTCCGTGAAAAAGTAAAATAAAATCTCTTAACGCGATCCTTCTTTAATGTCTATAACAATATCATCGCAGGTGTCGATTCGCGGACAGGCGTTCGGCGTGGGGGCCTTTGAAGCAGACGATGAAGACATATATGCGACGGAGGATATGTCCCATTACGACTTCAGCTTGGGCGCTCCAGCCGAAAATCAGAAGCCGAAGAAGATGGACAAAGTGTCTAACGTACGTCCTGTCACGTAACTGTAGATCAGAGTGTATAACACATCGCGGTCCAAATTGTCTTCTGTCTCTCCCCCGCCACACTGTCCCTTTCACACTGTAATATACTGTCATTAAAATATTTTAACAATTGACTCAAAGCACCCCACTGCTTTTCTGCAATATTTTTTTTTGTTAATCACATTTTCATAATTTAAATTGATTGACATTTATTTTCTACTTTTTATTTCGGTTATCTAAAAAGCGTGTTTGTTAGTTTTTTTTTAACTAATATTGATTTTCTATTTATTTGTTTACTTTTCTTAGACCATTGATCCTTATTTAATATAAAATATAATGTGATCTTCATCTAATATAAAGTAAATAAAGTTTTAGAAAACGACAATTTTTATAAGCGCTACGTGTTTTACAGCTATAAACTTTTGATGGATTCAGGGTATACATGTCTAATATGACTCTTGTAGGTAATTGAACAGAAAAGTACTTAGTTTTTTTTTTAATTTTTTTCTATATATGTATATTTTTAATTCCTTTTTATGATCTCTAATGTCTCTGCTATATTGAATCTGTTTGATAACCGAACCACTTATGCCCGGTTCCTATATTCAACGTACGGCCGTTAGTTACATAACTTCATGACGACTCGTTGTAACGACTTTATAGTGACAATGTAACTAACGGCCGTTCGTTGAATATAGGAACCGAGCTTTAATCATTTTCCTACATTAAGGCGCTGTATGCAGTAAAAATAGGTTTTTCAAAAGATTTTTTAGCAAAATCTACACATTTTACATCAGCAAAAAAAATATATGTTAACCTTGATCGTACATTCTAATGGACCATTGTTTCCAAAACATATTCTCGATATATTTTCTCGATAGAAAAAAATCATGAAACTACCTTTAAAAGAGAAATTCAAATCCAAAAATGAACGTAATACATCAACAAATCTTAATTAAATTAATATCAGTGGTGTAGAATATATTAATAAAAAGGATTGTTGTTTTAATTTTTTGATTTATGTAAGATATTTGTAAATATTAATTTAATTCATTAAAATTAATTCGAACGCGATGGCCAAAACACCGCGCCACCGCGGCGTTGTTTCGGCTCTCTTCCAATTCCACACGTTGAACAGAGAGCGCTGAGGCGCCTTGCTAGATGGACCTATGCCGCTCATCGCCGGCTCACAGTTACGAAATATGTTTCGTATTTATTTATTATTGACAGTTTTAATATTATTAGACCTTCCAAAACACGAAACTAAAAAATATATATTCACATATTTCGTATTTATAAATTATTTGTATGTATTAACAGTTGTTAATTAATTTATTTAAAGCGTAATTTCAATGTCTTATCTCGTGATTGGTCTCAGTCCTATACATAAAGTGTAATCCAATCCATAAAGAATGATGGTCCTACCATCATTCTTGGGTTCAAATCCCTAAATTTTTTGTTGTACTTATTGGTGATTTTCGTATTTGGAAATATTTCTTAATTACGATTTAATTTTTGTTCATTTTTTATTTTCATAAATAATTACAACGAACTATTATTGTATTTGTTCAAAGTTGAAACAGTTGGAGAACAATCTATCAGTAAATAAACCAACTTTTAGTATTAAAATTATTTAACGTCATCTATTTTTTTATTAAAATATTTAATTTTTCACCCTAAAACGAAAATTTATCTTATACACGAAAAATAATTGTTTTATAATTTTTCTTATTAATTTGTTTATTTCCCTAATTGAGCCATTTTATAAAATAAAAACAAAATAATTTGTTGGCTAACAAATTAAAAGTGAAAATAATATAAAAAATACAACTCCGTTCGATGAGGGTTTGAACTTGAGACTACACCTACAGCAATAGTTTACCGTTGTGTATAACGCTCGGACCAACAGGCTACGCGAGGTCTGTTGAAAGTGACAAAATTTCGATTCTTGTTATAATTGCTGTCGTTTATCGATACAAATAAAGATTTTATCGGTATTTTTTTAAATTTCACTTTAGTTGAGATGGTAATATAACATAGTAAATCATGCACATTTAAAAGATAAATTAAAATTCCTAATATATAAAAAATGTGATAAAAAAGTTGTATGCGTAATTTCTGCAAAAATTTTATGAGCCATTTCTTTAAAATAACAATATAAACCATGAAAACAAAAAATAATAATTATAAGTAATATGCCTTTATTAATTTATTTGACTTTAAGATGTATTTTTAATCAATTCCTTTTCCATTTGATTAAAAAAATAATAATAAACAAGAAGAAGATTTTATAAAATTGTTGATTGCTTTCTCATACTTTATATTTGTTTGTTTATTATTATTCCTATTATATAATATAAAAGTAAAATACAATCATGGTCTATAAAAGATGTTATAGGGATCATCTGTGTATATTTTCGAAAGCCTTCCATGATACTATCGATAGTATCCTACGGCTCATCACTACACACACACACTAGGTAAAAAATGACTTGGACTAGCGGCGCGACGACGAAACTCGCGCGCTGCGCGCCGCTAAGCGGCGTTACCCCTGCTCCGCTTCCTCATACTTCACCACCCAAATAGTTAAAAATTCACTGCATACAGCGCCTTAACTCGGACATTAGCAAATATTTATAAACCGCCATAAAGGAAAAAAATACGGCCTGGCACTTGGCCGTATTTTTTGGCCGGGCTCGCGTATGCAGGCTTCGTACCATTATCTATAAAAACGCTTAAACACTTTTTATTCTGTTTTTCATAGCGGCAACAGAAATACATCATCTTTGAAAATTTCAACTGTCTAACTGTCACGGTTCATGAGATACAGCCTGGTGACAGACGGACAGACAGACGGCGGCGTTTTATTATTACGGTCCCGTTCTACCCTTTGGGTACGGAATCCTGAAGAGAAAAGGTCGCAGTTACAATCCAGTGATTGATGGAACATTCCATATTGCCACATTGCAGGTGCTTGTGGGGTTCGTGAAAGCTGGCCGGCCGCTGCCGGCGGTGCCGTCGTACCCGCCGCCCGCTTTGCCGCGCGACTACGCGCCGGCCGCCGCGGGGAGTAGACGGTCCAGGTTCGAACCCACCGATCAAAAGCCGAGGGACCAAGGTAACTAAGGCCGTACGCTCGTGCCCGTATTGGGGTTTTTTTTAATGTGAGAAGGCGACGAGCTAGCCTGGCGGTTCGCCCGACGTTAAGTGAAAGCCTCCGCCCATGGACATTTGCAACACCCATGGTTGCAGATACGTTACGTCACTCAACAGACTAAACGCGGAAGTATAACACTTCCACTTCACTCGGTTCTTCTGTTTATCTTGGTACTTCCCCGGACGGAGCTGCTCATTTGTGCAACAGCGAAGACTGTTTGGTTCTGTTTGACTCTGGAGAAATGTTTGTATGGCCTGCGGATGGTTTTATTGGTTCCGAGATATGAACAGTGGTCAGTATATTCACTGAGTCATCACGGTTTTCGAGGTGATTGGTATGTGAGCTGGCGGTTCATCTGATAATATCGGCTGGGGAATCGAACCCACGGCCCCCGGTGCTGAAGCCAAGGGCTTAGCAACTGCGCCACCAAGTCATCAGTGTATATAATAAAATATACTTTTGAGACGACCCGAAGTGCGTAGTGGGTAGTGTAGGGTAGCTGCCGCCTACGCTAGAGGGTGTGGGTTCGATCCCCAATACTGGAAAAATATTGTGTGATGAACATAGTGTTTTTCTAGTGTCTGGGTGTCTATATATTTATACTAAGTATTTATTTACAACAAAAAAATTATGTTTAAGTATGTTTACCAGTTATGTAGTACCTATAGTACAAGCGTTGCTTAGTTTGAGACTAGAGAATGTTGCGTGAAAATATGTCCTAAAATATTTATTATTATACTGTGTTAATTTACTATAATACTCTGTGACGTCAGGACTGGGCCGGCACGAACTGACCGCGGAGGCGAGGGGGGCCCTCCTCGGCGAGGCGCCAATCCCGAAAGCTTCCGCCGAACCGATGGCAGTAGAAGAGGACCAGAAAGAGAGAGCCGCCGGTGGAGTGGTCCCAGAAGAGGCGACGGTCCCAAAGGAGTTGGACTTCATACCGATCAAGGACTCCGGTAAAGACCCGCCCAGGGTGTTCAGGCCGTTCGCCAGCGACCGCAAGAAGCAGGCGAGGTACGAGATGTACTTGAGGGGCGGGGAAACGCCGAGAGATGGCGCTGCGGACAGGCTCAGCGAGTGGGAGAGGAGCAGGGAGGAGATGGAATTCGAGCAAGCGGCTAAGTTGTACAGACCGTTATCGGGGATCATGGAGGAGAGGTGCGTCTACGCAGCTAAACGAGTGTTCTTTCGAAATTCTATACACATTAATATTTTCCAGCAGTATTTCGGGACACATTAGTTTTACACAAGTTTTTCTAGTTAAAATTTGTAGAAAAAAGTACGAAAAGCTGACGCTTTAGCCAAGGATTGCGTCAAATACCTGAATCCGCTCTGCGCCGTCGCCAAAAGCGCGAGCGAGCACGGTCTGGCGATCGATTAAAGTGTTCAGCGTTCGCGTGAACACACGCAATAATAAGTCTTATTCCCTTACCCGTAAGGTTCACGCACGCGTCGCAGCCCGACGAGGCCCTGAACCCGCTGTGCGCCGTCGCCAAAAGCGTGAACGAGCACGGTCTGGCGACTGCAGAGCAAGTGGAAGCGGCGAAGATTGGGGCGTTCGGTGCCATCACCAGGCGCGAGGGACCCTGGAGGCCGGAGGCGCTCGTCTGCAAGCGGTTCAACGTGCCCGAACCCGGGACCACCAGGTATTTTGTGTTTTGTGTGGAAGGGGTTGGGTGGTAAGTCCAAACGGACACTGCGACCTGCTGTAGTCTTCCCTCCGAAAACATTGCCCCCTTACTGTAGGATATCAGCGTTGTAAGTTTTACATAGATAAATTTCACGCGGACGAACACCCGGATCCGAAACAATTGTCCCTGGGTCACACGAATAGGTGTCTCGTGTGGGAATCGAACCCACGACCTCTGGCGCTGATGACAGTACCTTTGGCAACTGGGTCATGAAAAACACGAAAACACAAGGTGCGTTGAACCTCATTAACTACTCAGCAGACCTCTTGAGCAAAACAACTACGATATTTTTAACACAAAACTACTGTTGTAAAAAAGTTCTTGATTAACACTCACCTGTTATTATTAGACAGCTGATACTATTCGGTATTCCGGTATTTCACAGACTGTGAAAGGTGTCCGTAATTAACCATACCAATGACGGGTTAGAGAGGGAGAAACGTGTGAAGTATCGATAAATATAACCGGTCACATTTTTGAAACGTTGAATATTTGAGTTTGGAAAAGGCGAAATTTTTATCGTAAAACGTAACTAAATTCTGAACACGCGATACTAAGATGTCGCAGGCACTTGGTTGTCACCGATTTTTGTACATACATTTTAATATAACATCCTAAAACTGCGACGACATCTAAAAGTATAGGGAATCACAACAGATTATATAAAACTGTAAATAAGTTTAAATACGGAATCTGTATTATAACGCCATCCCATAGTATCGCTTATAAAGACCATGTTCTGAGAAGTAACGACAAAACACCAAGTCTGAAAAGAAAACTATTTTTTGTGAGTAATTATCATTATTGCTGAATAAGATATTTACCAATATTCACTGTATTATCAACAGGGCCGAGCCGCAGAAGGAAGACAAGCCGAAGGTGTCATATTCGATATTCTCATACTTGGAGTCGTCCGTACACGACAAGGAGAGTTTCACGAGGGAGCAGAGCAAATTCAGCGGGTCGAAATCTCTCAGCGTGGACGCCAAAACGACGGCCAAAAGCAAACCGACCAGTGACGAGAAGAAGATAGAGGACAAAAAAGAAGCGACACCTATAACAGCACCAATAACCACCGGCTTCAACAAAAGAATGACGGTAGCCGAGCTCTTCTTAAAGGAGTCCGAACGGGACCTAAAGAACAAAGAGCAAGGCGCCGACGTAACGGAGACCATACAGAAGTTCGACAAAATGGACTTGTACAAGTCGATCTTCCTCAGCGACAGCGAAAACGAGGAAGAAACCGCCAACGAGGCTACTACCGAGCGCAAAAACGCAGGCGATTTCGTCGACAGACCGAAGAACGTCGAGCGAAACACGTCGCCGCCGCGCGGAATCTTCGCGAACATCGACTTCGACGAGCTGAACTCTTGGAAGCAGAACACGGGAGACAGGGGAACGGATGCCCCTACAGTGGGATCCGGCGACAAAGAGGTCACGCCGCCGCGGAATGCCAACGGCGGTGGCCAAGACAACACGCAGCCAAGCGACGGCGACACAACAAAGGAAGCGAACGACCAGCCCGACGTGTACGGACCGAAAATACCGGAGAATCTGAAGAAGAGACTGGAGGCCCCCGCGCCGGCGGCGGATAATTTCAAACCGATGTACAGGAGCAAAGATGAGAGAGATCTCACCGTCACGATAGAGTCTTCGTCGGATTCGGAGTCGTGGGTTGAGGCGAAAATGCCAAAGGCGAAGAATAAGAAAGATAAGAAGAAAAAGAGCAAAAAACACAAATCTAAACATAAGAAAAGTAAGCATAAGAAGAAAGATAGATAAACCTAGTTTAATGTGTAATTAAAATTTCTAAGAAGACAATGGCGACATCTCTCGTTCGAATTACAAAAGGATATTCGAAATTGATGTATAACAATGGATGCGCTTTTACATTGCTTCAAATGCTAAAAACAATGTAGATAAAAGACGTTAAGATTTTCGTCGGTGTGGCAGTCAGCCATTTAGCTTAGTGGCTAAAGCGTCAGGCCGCGAATGTAGAAGACGTGGGTTTGATTTCCACAGCGGCGGTATCATTTTTTCATACTTTTTCTACAAATTTTAATAATCAATCTTAAGTGCAGAGACTAGCACTATAAAATATTAAAATTTCACTCTAAATCTAGTAAAAAAAAACCTCATCAAGATCCGTTGCGTAGTTTTAAAGATTTAATCATATATAGAGATAGACAGATAGCGGGACGACTTTGTTTTATACTGTGTAGTGATAGGAAAATTTATCTCAATGTATTCTATACAATGATTCTACTGCATTTTTAGTTATCAAAGTGTAGGTATATATATGCGACTGATAGCTGAATATAATTATATTCACAAGAAATATTTGTACAGATATCTTACGTAAAACTTGAACTGTTCAAACTACCTAAAAGCCAATTAGCTCCAAAAGAGATTCGGTCCTGCACTCTCAGAACTATCGAGAAATCAACCACTAAAGACTTAATAAATAGTTGAGTCGTAAATAACTGTCCATTTTATTTAAATCTTTGCCCTGGTTTTATATTTAAAGTTAAAAACTCCTCAAACGCTTCATGACCTTTTTTTTATAGCTTAAATATCCCACAATTGGCTAAATTTCGGCTAACGAATTGGCACAAAACATACATAATGTATGTGTCGATAATGTTTTATACTTTTAAATAACAAAAACTGATTTTTAATGGTAGCGCCAAGCAGAGCGTAGTTTTGTGAAACACCTTTTTTATGTTTAGTTCTTTTGGAGTTTGTACGACGCAATTCTTAAATACGCACATTAGAAATGATGTTGTTTTTGTTATGAGCATTGTTTCGCATACCTATCTAAATAATCATAATACATGAGTCACCGTTATTATAGTACTTATTAAAAAAATGCAGTAATATATTTTGCAATACATTTTACTTATCTTCCTATTTTTATACTTTTATCGTATTTTTTGTGCGAAACTGTATGCAAATTTTAAATAGATGTAATAATAAACAACTCTTACACAACAATTACGTTATGTCGAAAGTGTGGGTGTTGAGATCATTCAAGGTTATTTTTGATGGCGGGAAATAGCCCGTTAGCAGTTTACTCTGCTTATTTATTTCATAACACAATTTAACCAATAAACTCAAAATGTATTCGTAAAGGTCTATGTCATTTATAGTTATACATTATATTATGTTATAATAAATGCCAATTAACTTTGTTTCTAATGCAGACCAGCTGTCTGACGGTGATTAGTTATTCCGATTGGAAAATGGAATTGCACCATAAATTAAGAAACGCTATCGTAGTTTACTTTTTTATATTTCTATACATTACTTTCTTCATTCTTATAAGAATGCTCTAACATAAGAATTGCAAGCAATGAACTACGAACACGTCAGAATGTGTATCAAAATGTTTCAAAGTTGTCAATAACAATTCGGTTCGAGAGGGACGTAGATATAAATTTTGTTTATGAATAAAGGAGATAAAATAAATTTGCCAAAGAAGAGTACACGCGTATATATAAAGTATAAGTGCAAAAGAGATATAGATAAAACAGTGTCTACAACATAAAACTTTGCCTTCGGGATTGGTACGCATGCGTCACTCCACTATTACAGGGTCGTATTATTGATAAAATACAAAACGAAGAAAATATTGAAACGTTTAGAAGTTACCAATATATAGGATCTAAGAAACAAAGGAAGTAATTAGTCATAAATGACAATTATTTTAAATAACATAAATCGAAAAGTATTTACACATTCGTCCGTCTGTTGTACAGTGCAATTGGTTAGTGCAAACATAGTTCCTAATGATAATAATAAATAATGATTTAAACAACATGTAAATAGTACATGTTTGACATGTTTGCTTTTATAAATTATTTGAGTAATTCGTTATAAAAAGTAATGTAATTACGTCCCTGGTAAAATACAATCAGCTGTTTGTAATGACAGTTCCTCTGACAAATACAAAATGGTTGAAAACTAAAGTTGGCAAACAAAGAAAGGCAGCGTAATAACGTATTTAAACGTTAATATTGAGTTTTCTGAAGTGAAAGTTAGTTAGTTTAGTGTGTATTAAGTGTTTTGTGCACGATGCTGGATTTAGAAATTGTTCCTGAGCGATCCCTGGGCTGTGATGCCTGGGAATTTGTATTAGGTGAGCTATCGTATGTTTATTACCTTACGTCAATTATTTGCGTAGTATTTTAAACGGAAAGTATCTTACGCAATGATTGTATATTTGTCTAACTTGTAATACAACCGAAAACATCAACAATCTCCCCATAGCAGTTTATCTGCAACATTGATTTTTTATTCGCAAAGTGTCATGGGTAGCCTTTGTTTCGTCTGTGCTTTCAATGTTTATTTTTTATTGCTACACTTGACCGTGAAATCACTAAGACTTCTTGTTTTTGTGTTTTTTCATGACATTTCGTAGTTTAACTTGTTTCGGCACAATTACTTTGGTAATAAGTTCAGTGTACATTTTAATAAATAATTTATAAGATTCCAGTTTGAATGCCACACGAATTTCAAGTTTTTATTTAGAAATGTGAAGCAGAACAATTTTTAAAGTGATTTTATTGAAAAAGTAAAAGTATACACAATTTAGTTCTGCAATAAGGAAATACTTGATTCCATGTCATATTTATTTATTTAAAGTGAATGAGTATTGCTTCCAAAAATTAGTCTTAGTTAGTGATGATTTTTCTGTACTGGAACAAGTTGTTAATTTAAAAACAGGTCATTGATCTTTTATCATGAATCCAATATTGAGGTCATTTGGAGAACAAACTTTTTTAGTCAATTGATAATGTTTATTTTATGTTAAGAACCTCTATTCAGAGTATAATATTTGAAGGTTGCTCAGCTATTATATAGACTGTCTCAGTTTTTCATCTTTTAAATGTGTGCTTTGCTATACCATTAATTAGGAAATGTGCTATATGTAATATTTTCTTATGAACATACTTATAAATCTATTTTACTATATTTTGAATAGATTTTTACTTGTTTAAAACCTTTTTTCTATTATTAAATATCACATATATAAACATTTTCAATTAGCTGTGAAAAGTAGTCCTGTTGTTATCAAAGATATATGTTGTTACTCTTTTACCAATAATTTTTTTAATGCCAAGTTCATTCATTTAAAGTTGGTTGGTTAACAATCAAAAAAATAGCAGGCTTTGTAGATAGAAACTTATTTTTGTCTACTGTTCTATATTTATTATTTGATGTTTTTGATTTCAACATTGCTCTTAATTGCTGTAAATTTGTAATTGAATATAATATTATTTATGATAATTATATTCATAATATAATTACAGTAAATATTATTAATAATAAAATTAATTAATAAAAATAATTAGGTATAATTCATATTATTACTGATAAGTTATCTTTGGTGTTAGTGTAATAAGATAGCAAATAAGAATTAGCCTTATAGCTATGAACACCTAAATTGTACTATATATTATGCTGTTGATGTTGCTAATGTAATTAATAATAAATAAAGAAATAATTATATTATCATTGCCTATAAATTTAACCAACATGAAAAATATGTAATTTAACGCTTCTCTTTTTAAAATTGAGGACTTTATTGTTTTGTGAACATCTATCAAATTGTTATTATATGTTATATTTGGTTTTCGAAGTTCCATGTGTATGGTTATTAACCTTGCTATCAAAAGGTTTTATGGTGGGATTTGTCCTAAAAATACATTTCTACTGGATACTACTTTTGGTACACATTTTTTTTGTCACATTCAATTAGCACTTGGTTACAATCATTTTCAATATATTTTGCCTTAAGAAAATTGTTTTTATAAATTCTTATTTATGTTTAATCTTACTTTAATTCAGTCTTGAATTCTTCTTAATTACATAGTAATGTTTAGAGGATCTAATATTGGAAAAGGTTATTGCATAAAATATGGTGTTATAATTTTTTTCATACCTTTGAAATCACAATACCTTTATAACTGTACTAATTGAATATTAACTTGCATATATACAACACATGTAGTATACGAAAAAAAATTGCACAAATTTGATAAGTATCTTTCATAATTGTGCATAGTTCCATTTTGTAAATAAAGGAAGCGCTATATTTTAAATACAACAAAGACAATCTGGTCATTAAACTTGCATTGCATGCGGCGTCGTGTTTACATTAGCGATAACGTTAAAATAATTAATACCACAAAAGGCAGAACTTTTGTGCGCCCCGCGTGTGCGTGCCCGCGTGCTCGTTCGCCCGTGTACGTGCGTTTTGTTTTGATTTTATGGGCATTACGATAATATTAGCAACTATATTAGATTTTTAGGGTTCCGTACCGAAAAGGGAAGACGGGACCCTATTACTAAGACTCCGACGTCTGTCTGTCTGCCCTTCTGTCACCACGCAGACAAGTTTTCACATTTTCAAATTTTCGCAGATGATGATTATGAAATAAAAAAACAGAATAAAAAAAATTAAGTCGGGCTCCCATACAACAGACGTTTTTTTTTTTTGCAGTTTTAATAGATAATGGTATGGAACGGTCCGACTCACATTTGTCATTTCTTTCTTTCACAATTATCTTTAGTCTCAGTAATTCGTTTATTGTTATTTAATATTGATTTCATTAATGACGCAATGTTTTCAACAGTCCACTGGTCGACCGCCACTACGCGTTAAATTTTTGGTTCGATCCCCGTATGGATATAACTTGCAAAAAAATGCAAAATTTGTCACTCGTCAGTTACGAACTCATCTCGACTGATGTAGGTAGCCTGACAACAGCTTCCCCCTTTGTTGTACCATAAACTAGTTTTCACGTTACAGCTATTAGTGGCGATATTTTATTAAACGGTGAAAAGAATACCGCGAGGAATGTGTATGAAATCTGTTGTGAATGAAAAATCAAAAATGTACACTTGTACGTCACAGACATTTGTCATTATTTTTCTTATTAAAAGCAAGGAAAAGTGGATCATCGAAATCGTGAGTCCGTCTCCGAACCTGTCGACAAACAAGCTTTAAAACCGTCACAATATCAACCATTCAATATTCACTCGTATTGTACAGGCTTCATTCGTCTCCACGAAGCGGCGAAATTAACGCATCGCGTGCTTAAGGTAAAGTCACGTCCCAGGGTATCGACGCCACTAGACAACTGTTATCAGAGTACGGGTACCCGTACCAGGACCTTCGGCTCACGAACCACAAGCGCCGGGTAACACGTGTATACATACGCCACTACCCGTAGGGCCTCAATTAGGGCTCCACCGGCTCAGCATAATTTATGCCCGGTTCGTATATACGATTCGTTCGTATATATAGATTAAAGGAACGCTAATAATTCACTTTCCGCAGGTAATGCAACGGCTCGTAAGGAAAACGCCACGTTTTGTTAATATACGAACCGGGTGTACACGCCTTTTATCTACAAATCGTTATGAAAGTTACGAAGCTATGTAACTAACGGCCGTTCGTTGAATATAGTAACCGGGCATTAGAAGAGGAGGCCCAAAAAGGCCATGGCCGCGCCGGGGTCGTGGCAGATTGCGCCCCATGTTCCCGTGTCCCCGGCCGATGCGACAGAGACAGGTGCAACGTGGGATTTTTAGTAGGTATCCGTTTCCGGGACTCTCACATACCCCTGCCTCTCCCCCGGTCTAGGGGGATCCATAAAGGATTTTTCCCACGGAAAAAAATGGCTTTAATTAGGGAGCTTTGGCCTTTACACCGGTTCTCTATAGCCGACGAAGGTCTAAATAGTCGAAAGTTGCCAAAAACTGAATGTACAAACGAATTATTACACGCCCATAATGTGTTTTTGTTCTTTTCTTTTTCTCTTTTTATTGTTTTTTTATTATATTTTTAGCAGTTTTTGTTTTTAACCTAGTATAAATTTAGGATCAAAAATTGTTTCGATGATAGCACGAAACAATGTTCGGTACAAAATTTATACCAGGTTACTAATAAGTAATACTAACCTAGTATGAAGTAATAATTTATACTAGGTTAGAACCCTAGTAATTTATGTACGTATGTGTAATCGTTACCTCGTTTGACTATATTGTAATGTATATGTTACATACTGTTTGCTGTTTTGTGGACGAAAACCTCCAAACATAGTCTCTCCTTAACTCCGCAGACGATTATCGTTTCTTTGAACCGGGCGATATGTTTACGTCGCCGCGTAGGATAGCGTGATTTTATTTTTATCGCGACGTTTGGAAAAAAAAATAGTCGCGTCACAGTCACCGCCTAAACCGTATCGGCCCGACAAACAACCGTTAGAATCGGTTTGTTTGTGTTGATAACGGCTTACGCAAGGTGACCTTGGGGCCCTGTATTCGCAAGTGACACGTGGATAATAAAGCCGCGTATTCTATGCGGGGTAGCAACACAACATACGGACATAGGCCGGTTCCAATATGCTATCTGCAGATTTGGTTACTAGCGATTGCTATTTGGCATTAGTTCCATAATATTTACGTCAAAATTCTTTCTCATAGTAAGCAAATCTACAGTTAGATACAATATTGGAACCGGCCCCGATAGTCATCTTACGAGACTTCAACCACGTTACGTGTTTATCGTAACGATTGTATTTATCGTGGGGGCATTGTCTTCTTATTGAACTTGATTATTGTTTATCAGCTTATTGTTCGATACTAGCTTTTGGGCCCTGGTGTCGTTCCCGTATTTATAGTCGAAAGGAGTGTAACGTTTGTTGATTTGGGCATTGAAATGGGTTGAATGGGCGTATGATGTTTTGATCTCGATGCCGATTCAAAACGTACTTGCAAACTTTAACACTCATTAAGTGAGTGCTTAAGATGGAAATTTAAAGATAATCTTAAAATAAATGCGATGATGAAAATTTTATATTAAGGTTAGTCAATGTTTTTTATCGTGCGTGCTGTTTCCGAACGGAAACAAATGTCAGTTTCGTCTTTGAAAAACTCCTTCCGCTACATCACTACATGGAGGATTTCCTCTTGTTGCATGACTGCATTACATACCTATTAGACGGCTCCATTGGCGCATTAATAAACATATACGAGAGGGTTTATAAGGAATTCTTTTTGGTATTATTTAGAATTGGATGGTTGCGCCGTTGAAATCAATAAACACGTGTTCTCGTCTGGATGATTCCA